TTTGTTTGCAACTCTGCTTTGTCGCATTGCCATTGTTTTTGTTGCTGTTTATCATTTTGGCATCTTCATCGCTGTCATTAGGCGCACATTATGCTGCCCACCTGCCATTTCCAGGACCTCCAAGGATCCCCTGCCTGTTGCCCGTTGGCCGTCTGCCCACCTGCCGTTTTATAAATGTTTTGAAAATACAAGGGGCAAGTAAAACGAAAGCAAACACTACACAGTCATAGTCCACAGGAAAAAAACCTTTATGAAGAGGGAAATTTGATAAATGCCTCTTGCGGGTTTATTTAATGTGTGCCAAGTGCGTTCATTGTGTGAAATCATAAAAAAATAATAAAAAAAAAAGGAAAATAGGAGGGAAACGATTGCGGGAGGTTTGCGGTTTGTCCAAGTCAGGGCCATTTTTTTTATTTAAGTCCATGAGACCCTTTTATAAAAGTTACAAACTTGGTGTTTCGTCGATTTTTTAAATAGATCTAAATAAGGTTAAAGCGTTTTAGACAACTAAAATTAAATATTTTAAACTAAAACTAAAATCTACATTTAATATTCAATAAAAGGTATTGTTAATGCTTTTAAAGCTGAGATTTATTTTGATTAAGCTGACATCTACTTAAAGCATATATTTTGGGTGCCTTAAAGCGGCGGAAAACACTTGCTCACCGCTCGAAATGAAATTAGCATTATTCAAAATATTTCCACAGCTATGAATATGCAATGTGGAATTTTGGAAACACGTTCTATGGCTTTGTTCAACAGCTCGGTCGAAAACTCGGGCATCAGTCGTGGAAAGCAATATTGTATACCGGATATATATTCATTTTCATGCGTCACATTGGCCACATATGACATCACGATAATGATGACGGTGTTGATAATGACGTTCCCGGTGCTATCAATTCCATTAGCAGCTTTCACTTGCCTGTGCGAAAAGTTTGCTTCGCCCCTAACCAAAATATTTCGCATAATTTCAAAAGTCAACATGAATAACTATGTATGTTAGACGGAGTGCTTGACGTATTTATATTTAATTTTTACTGCTCAATTTTCTGAAACTTTGGAGACTAGCTCCTGCTATTTTGCCACTATTTCCGCTGATTTGAGCGAAAAGTTTTTTATAATCCAAATTATGGCTTTCAGTAAAATTTTATGGCTTTTGATGCGAGATTAAGATTGGCATTGATATGAAATGTTGGTTGAGAAGCTTTTAAAGCATAAATTGTGATACATGTTTATGAAAGATAGGTCAAGTTTTATATTTGACAGAACAGAATGATTTAGATCTTTAAGAACCCGTAAACTGTTTCCCGAAAACTAATTTCGCAATCCAAACAAGTACACTTACTTTTCCTATTTTAGAGCCTAAATAAATATTTTATTTGGAAGGAAACACATTTCCGCTTTTATAATTGGCGGTTCAACTACAATCATGATGTCGGCTTTGGTGTTGAACCCTCTGTAATTTGCGCACTTTCATTAAATTTACCTCTTGTTACAATACACATATAAATTTCATTTTTTGTTTGTATTGGCCATTGTTTTTCCCAGCCGAGGCACGCCCCTATTGTCTGGCCACATTAGCAGTTGGTCCAGTGAGCCAACAACACCAGCCAGCAGAAAGAATAAAGCATTTTGCTTCCTGCAAGCGAACTTAATGAAAATAAATCTGAAAAAATATAAACAAAGGAGAGGCGTCGGCAAAGTTAAGGGTAGCAGGAGTCGTTGCTCACAGGTATATTTTGTATGGCTTAAAGTTGGAACTCGGCTCGGGGGATTCTTGATGACGCATTCAACAGCTTGGAAGTAATAGACCCTAACAAACAAACCAAACAAAAACGATTCTCTGGCCAAAAGAAGGGCGCTGGCCTTAGAAAATATAGCGCTAAATAAGAGCAGGGGAAGCACCAAAGAAAAGAAGTCCAGAAATTAAAGGAGGACATAGAACTTAGCCGGCGAGTTTCTTTTTCAACTCGAGCACAATTACGAACTACTTGGAGCATATGATATGCGACTTTCCGCGAAGCTGCAAAAGGAAGTAATTGTTTTGTAGGCATGTTTTACACTTAATTGTGCTAATCAGGAAATAATTTTAAAATGGTTTTTCTTAGAAAGTATGTGTTAAATTTGACATTCTAATGGGAAAACCAATGTAGAGACTGGGAAGTTATTTTGAATTTAAAATTTTTGTTCAGATCTTTTGCTGACTTTATTTAAGGGAAGATATTTTTAGAGTAGCTCTCTGACATCTGACCCACTTAATATGCCTCAGGGAAGCCAAGCATTTTAAATCAATTACGAAAATTCCACGCCCAATCTTTCAATCAATCAATGTGAATTGGTTGGCGTGGCTTATTTTTTTCTCGTTCACTTAATATTGAATGCCATCAATAACAATAATTTTCATAAATATGATAAGACATAAATCACAAAGTAGCAGGCGCCACAAAGTGCCCGGCCAAGGGTCTGGATTTTAGTCCTGCCATCAGGACCCTCCTTTGGCATGGTGACCCCACCACCACCCCTCGTCTGCAATGTCACTTGGTCATGCGAGGCACGCGCTCCTCTGAGGACAACAACAACGGGAAAAAAAGAGCAAAACCATGGAGAGGATTTCCCTTTGTAAAGTCGAAACTCATATTCCCTGATGTTATAAAAAATGCTCATGAGTTCACCTTACAATTTTTTATATGTCCTAAGCTTTATTTTAAAATTAAACACACATTTTATAAATTTCTTAATTTTTGTAAATTTAACTATATTTTGTTTAACTATAGGATATATCCTAAATCTCTTGAAACCAGTTGATTGGAACCAACAATTTTTCTTAAGAATCTTTCAATTTGCAATTAATAAAATATATATGATTTTTTTCCCACTGAAAATTAGAATACCCTTTCTTCCAGGACATAAAAAGAGTCGCTAAGCAGGATCCCGCCCACTTGTGGGTGAAAGGTGGTGGGAGTTGGATGGGTGGTTAGGGGGTTTCCTGCAGGACGCGACAACGTCACGCGGCGTTGTCATGGCGCAATAAAAATAAAAATCTAATTAGTATGCCGTTGACAGTTTAATCGTGATTACGCTGGCAAAAATGTCAGCTAAGCGGAGCAAGCGCGGTGGGTGGCTGTTGGTGGCTGTGGGTGGAGGGTCGTCAGTGGGTGGCAAGTGGGTGGACGAGGCAAAGCGTCAACATCAACATGCCAACAGTTGATTCCCGGCTTTGTTGTTTCTGCTCTTGGACGTTGAGCTTGGCATTTCCGGCAGACGCCACATGCATCGCGTGCGTGTCACAACAACAAGTGTGTGTGTGTGTTTGTGAGTAGTCGGTACACGAGTGTGTGTGTGTGTTGGCGGACGTGTGTGTGGGTGTCAAAAGTTTAGCACTGAGAATCGCCCGCCGGTTCGTTGCCTGATTGCCGAGTGGGTGGCAGCAAAACGCTAAACAAAAATATCAGAAATTATAAGCCAGTTTGGGAGAAGCGGAACAAAAAGAGAACGAGCCTGCGAGGTAAGACAAATAAGTTACTGACACTATTTTAAATATTTAAAATCTTCTACTCCCCAAAAATATTTCAAAATAAATATTGATAAAAGACTATTATAAATCAAATGATTCAGAAATTCATTTACCAAAACTTTAAATATTCAACTCGGTAATCATTATTTGGGTAGAACTCCAACCAAACCTTGAAACAGAACAAGTTTTGAAACCCACCTCGCAGTTTTAGTTTTGGGCCTTGTTTTTAAAATGTGCTTCATGCCCAGACACGCCGAAATAGGAGGCCCGCCTCAATGCTGGCCATTGAAATGCGTGTCTAGTGAAGGATTCGCGGGACGTGATTGGAAGTTTTTAGCAGGTCTCGTCGCCGTTTCCTCTATTTTGGATGTGGCACGAGTGGTTGTGCAGCAGACGACTAGTCCACATTCCAGCCAAGAGCATGAGTCAAGGGACGAGTGCGAATTAAAAGAAAACTGAAGTGTAGATTTTGCCCAGACCGGAACAGGAAGTGCCAGTGATGAATTGTCCTGCATCATCAGTAGGTTCTGTGCGTTTAAAGGCGGCTTTTGCAATTTGCCGGAAAGACTTTCAAGTTCAGCTTACATCAGTGCTCGAGCCTTTCAGTTTTTAATATAAAATGCCGGGGATTTATGAGCGCCCTTTTTACAACTTTATTACGCCCCAATCTCACAATAAACGGAGGGTGGGAGTTGGGAAAGTCGACAAGCCAAAGGAATATGAAACGAAATTAAAGCTGCCGGAAATACAGACAAAGCGACAACTCATTGCAGCAGCTATTCTGCCCGGAGTGTCAGACGAAGATGACTGGAAAAAGTCCGGAGAAAAGCCGGAAAACTGAAATTAAATCCGAGTCATATTGCATTCGGGGGAGGGACGTGAAGAGTGACAAACCAACCAAGTTGTACGCCCGAGCGCAAATATTAATTTTAAATCCAGCAAAAGTATAAATATGAAATCCTTTTTGTAATGAATAAAAAGCTGGACATTTTGACGTGCAGAGAAAATTGTAGGCCTTTGCAGTAGGTCGTAATTAACAAATATCTACCAGATAATTTTTTGTGATATTTTTTTTGGAGATGGAGAATACTATTTAATTATTCACACCTTAATCAACCTACTCACTCATTCACATAAATTTGGTCTATTGCTGCTTCTGTTCGGAGCCTAATTTAATTTGTTACGGCGCTTAAAAACAAACAAAAAATGAAGTACACGTCCGGAGATGAAACGATTTCACAAATGCTAACCACAAACATAATTGAACCGCAAATACTGTGGGTAGAGCAGTCAACTTGCGGGTGGCAAATTGCTGGCCCGTTTTGAACGCAACATGACATAATTTTCAATTAATAATTCAGGAAAACTGTGTGTTCGAGCATTTAATTTAAAGCTCAAATGTGGTCAACTAGCAAGGGGTGTCACATTTTAAATACGTGATGAGGGCGTGACAATATTTGATATGCGCTTTAAACAAACTCACCTGGCAAACTGGCTATGTAAACAGCGGTAATGATGAAGAGTCTTCGTAATTTAAGCGCTGGCTTTTGCATTTTGCTTTCGCTTTGCCCACAAATATGATTGTTTATTTATAAATCAGTAAATGTTTTATGTCGCGGTGCCCTTCGCCAACGATTTACGGTCATATATAAGCAATATCCGCTATCCAGACCGCAGAAATCAATTTTTACATTCGCTAACTGGTTTTGTCATCCTTTTGTTTTGCTCTGCGCTCAGTATGTGCAATTTCCTTTTTTTCGTCGCTTGATTGGTTTTACTTTTTGCTCTATTTTGCGGTTGCATTTAATGCATTTTTCATTCAACGCTCCTGCTTTCTTTGGTTTACCAGTCAGCCACAATTAGCAATCTGCACAGTGAGTCGCATTTGTATTCGGACCTGTGCGCCAGTGCCCAGTGCTACTGCCTTGCATGTGAAATTGTGTAAATACGTACGGGTTAGCTGCATTTCTCATTGAACTCGATTTGGCTATTTGCATTTTTCATATCCCTTCTGCCTCTTTTGCATATTCATTTCCTGTTTTCCACAATTTTTCCACTTTGCTGCTATGTATTTTATATGACTTCGATTCCCTTCCAGCTCTTCCTGCATGGGGATTTCACAATGTTGCCGGCTGATGATTGAACTGAAGTCGGCTTCCGAATCAACCTGAAAAATGTATGAGTAGACGGGGAAAAAGGATTAGACCCAGTTGTAAGCTAAGGAATTTTGAATTTATTATTTCCTTAATCAACTCAACTTCTTCGGTTTTTAGAATTTATGTTGCTTAGCAGCTTTTAAAATAACAACCTTATTGGGTTGCTCGCTTATTAGAATATATTACATGTATTAATAAATACCTTGGGCTTAAGGATTACAAATATTAATTAAATATTAAATATTACAATTTTTCTCTATAGTTCTTTAAATAATAAGATAACTTTATCGCATTAGCCTAATCAAATATTTTTCAACTTGCTTATCCGCTTTCGAAACGCTTTCCTGTCTTGACAACTCCAATCACCATCAAATTCAATATCCCCGCCAGGATTTACCGCCTTTGAATCGGCGAATCCTGTGGGTCTAAATCATTGTCGGACGCTTTAAGCTGCATTGGCTTTCGGAGTTTTGGGAAAACAAAACACACGCACAGTGCATTTTCCAACTGATTTGAAAATCCAAAGTTGCCCATTAGCAAACCAAATACGCGCAGTTGCCACCGCAAAAAGGGGGCGTGGCTGAGGGCTGAGACTTTGGCGCCACACGAAAAGCCGGCTGACTTTACATGGGAAATTGGCAAAAGCCAAGCCATGAAATTGTACAACACGATTTTCACATTTCGTACATGACACCATTTCGACTGCCGACTACCGACTGCTGGCTGCTGGCTGCCGGGGGACAGTGGCGCACATGTGTGTAAGTCGCCAGGGCGGTAGTCTACTTGTCGCTGTGCCACTGTGCATTGGGGGAAATTCACTTATGGAAATCGAAGATTTCCACCCACCACCCTCCTCACCCTCCTGATTCTCATTCGAGGGAGCGGGGACGTAGCGAAAACTAAACTGATATGAAGTATCAGCATTCAGTATTCAATGTAAATCCTTTAAGCTGCAAATGCGCCCCAAAAGGAGACTCTCTGCCACGTATTCCCGACTGACTGACAGCTTGACTGTGACTCTGAGTGCTCTTCCCGTCCCATTTTCGGTGGCTTCTGCGGCGGAAAAGCGAAATGCGACCTGGATCTGGGGAAATTGGAAAGGGAGGGGGGATTGGGAAGCCCCCATTCCCAACCAGTCAAGATATGTGTGCCAAGTGGAGGGACGAAGGGTGGACTTATGCTCATCACGGAGAATGGAAGCGATATTCTGCACAAATACCAGAGTCAAACAAGGAGATACGATATAGTTGAATGCCTCGACTATGAGATACCCGATACTCTGCTGAGCCATTTTTCAATACGAAAGCATTAAAGTTGTTCCCAGATGTTAAGTTCATTTGAACGTATCAATATAAATATATTTATTTGGAGAAATCTCAAGAACTCTTTTAGTCTTGAATGGAATACCCTGTATCTTTACGAGAAGTGTCATCCGCGTTAAGATGACAAAGGGTTTTCGGTTGAAGGTTTTTTGCCGTATTACGCAACAAAATTTTTAAGAAGTAGGTATATTTTCAACACAATTATTAAGCAACCTGGTTAGTTCTTTATAAAACTGTCAAATGGTTGGTTTCGACCAACAAAAAACAAAATAAACTCTACATTACATAAGCACAACACACCACAACAGAAATAAACAAAAAAGAAAAAACAGTACAAATACATAAACAAAGGCTATGTTCAAAGAATGTACTTCGAATTATGCAGGATCGCGCGTCTTCACGCATAGTGACGAAAATATGAGAGATAGCGAGCTTTCGGACATAACATTGAGTGAACACTGGGACACGTCGACGGAGTCCTCAGTTCGTTGTCACGGAGCCTCCTGCCACTTGAAGCGGGTCCTGCTGGATTACAAACAGTTCAAGGCCGCCAGGACCATCCAGCGCCACTGGCGGGGATTTCTCACCCGGAAGCAACTCAGAATCCGGAACGAGGCAGCCACCACCATAAGTAGATGGTGGCGCGGTTTCTGGGTACGGAAATTCCAGTTCACGTATATCCAGCAGTTGCTTCAACTGCGGATCATGCGGTACTATCACGAAGCGGCCACTCAGATACAGGCCCTCTTCCGCGGCTGGAGGACGCGGCAGTTCTTCCAGGACTTCCAGGGTATGAATACGCTGCGCCTCCAGTACGTCGAGGATATACTCAGCACGCTCTACAGGAAACTCTTCGAAATGAAGAAGGCCAAGCTGTTGCCGGGAGTGTACACTCTGCGAGAGTCTGAGTAAGCATACAAATTCTTCCTTAAAATAAGTATTGAAAAAAAAGTTTTCTTGCGCTTATAAATGTGGCTTAATCAAATAAAAATAAATATTAATTTCAATTTCAGGCTGTTGACGAAGATCGAGGACCTCTCGACCACTTTTGAATACCGTTTCCACAACGGAAGTGTTCGAGCGGCCCTCGCCATGAGGCGTTCCGTCATGGACGACCGGCGGAAGGAATTCAAAGCGGCCTACGCCTTTTCCAACACTCCGTATCCGGGTCCCTTCACGGAAGACCCACAGGCTTGCGAAATATCAATGATAAAGCGAATGGACACGCGACTGCAGCGCATCCTTGTGATGTACGAAAGGTCTAAGAAGGACAAGCACGTGGAGAAGGTGTACACGAACTATTCGGCGAGTGAGTTGACGCTTTCTTCAATCAGTTAAAATTCGATTTAAATACCCACCTCCCACAGGACGTCGAATGACCATGAATGTCCAGCGTGAGAATAAGCGCATCCGCTTTTGCACGGACTTCGCGAGGCGAATAACGAAGAACATGGCAACTAAACATACGCATCGCGATAGTCAAGCAATTGACGCCTTTCTCGATGATCTCCTAACTTCCGCCGACACACATAACTGTTTTTGTCAGCCCATGCACACAATGGATGATAGCTTGTGCCAATAGGCTTTTTCAGCACTGGCCAACCCTGGAAACCAAACAGTGTTGGAAAATCCGATTTGCACAATCGATTTTAAATTATTCCATTTGTGATCGTCTATATTATATTGCATGATTACATAGAACCAAACAATAAGATCAAGTATGGAATTCTAAATGGATATTAAATATTTGATTCTTTGTTTACTTAAAATTGTTGAAATTGCGTAGCTCAAAGGAGCCGAAGTAATAATTTGTGGCTGATTTACATACTTATGTACAAGCCACAGATAAAAAGACTCCCGCCATCCATACAAACACATCTTGAACATCTGTCCCACCTTCTACTTGACCATTCAAAGTGCCCCGGGGAAACGCACAGAAGATTTCCATTCCTTACTGTCATCAGTCACAAAATTTCAGAAATTCCTCGACATAAAACAGATTTTGTCCCTCAACTGAAGACGAATAAAGCAGAGCGCTTAAACTTTTTAATGTCAAGGCAACAAAAATTGAAGACGAACGAATTCCAGTCTCCTTTGTGTGGCTGACTGCGCGTTTTTAGCAGCTCGCAATTTATTTGCAAACATTTATTATAGTTACTTTTGTTTTATTCGCTTTGAGTACTTTTGCGTGTTGCGCAGTGGAGACGAGGGGTCAGGGGTCACTTTTTATGCTGCATTGTTTTATGGTCGCGTCGCGGTTGGTAATGAAATGCCCTGCCATAAAGTAGCTGAAAAAGCAGCCCAAGGTTGATAAGTCCTGTCAGGGGACTGCAAACCTAGGAAACAAATTAGTTTAAAGATAAGTGGGTTACACAATTTCGAGTAGCGTACTTTGTGGCATTAAGTGGCTGTCTTGATTAGTCCTGGCAGCTGACTGAATGCCTGGGCGGCAGTTGGCCAGGACGAGTGGGCAAATACAATCAAGCAACTCTGCCAGACTGCACGTGAAAATATTTAACAGCTGTCGATGGCGCACGAGCGAAGGGGATTAGGGTAAATAGCATAAAGCAAACATCGGGGAAAACCGGTCGGAAGCAGCAGGATTCTGCACCAAGGACCTTGAGGCATGCCCGTAATGCGCCTTTGGCCAAGTGCACTGTAAATACCAAAGCAATTTTCACTGCAAAATTAACAAGCGCAAAACCGCAACACGAGCTCGAGGTGCTGAAGTGGATTGGCTTGGCTCGAACCGAGATGGCCAAGACGCCTGCCGTTCGTACGTACACTCACCACTAAGACGAGGCGCCGGTACATAATGAATTTTCCCCAGCTTCACCTCTTCTTCTCTTCGCTTTCTGTTTATTTGCCTTTTTACTGGGAAGCCAGCTCACAGTTTTCCTCGTCGGACACTCGAATGCAATTAAGCTGCCCAACAGGAGCAAAAAATCGAAGCTTTACGGGATTCTGTTTCTGTCCTCGATTGGATCATCAATTCACTGGAAACAAAACCGACTCTCCCTTAGCACTTTTTAAGGACTTTTTTATCCACGATAAACGGCAGGGAAAAAATACATTTTCCAAATGCAACTTTGATTAAACGACATGTTTAATTAGTACTTTGCTGGAAATAGAAAACCCTTGCCACTCACCAACTAAAATTGATAAACTGCCTAGAAGGCCATCAAACAAGTGATGATTCTCCGCTTGGCTGAACAATTTGGCCTAATCATCGTATTAGCTTCTTGCAGAATTACTCTGCCCATAAACTCTCCAAGGACCTTCAGTTTTCATTTACTTGAGCATTATGCTGCTTAGCTGAACATTATGCAAGAGCACAAAAGGATTCCAATTAGAGGTTGTGCGGGAGGAGCTCGGACCATTGCCTTTACCCCAATCTTAATTATGCAAAAAACGAGGCCATGTGCGAAATTGACCAAGATGGAGATGAACCCACAGTCGACCCGATTGGACAATAAACTAACACCAAACTGCTCAGCGCCGACCGAATGCTTGGGTCATCAAAATGTGTCGTCAGCCGGTTCATGCAAATTTCAAACTTAATCATGGCAAATTATATTACGAGAGTCCCAAACCCCCTCCAACCGCCTACTGGACTAACCCTTTGACCCTGGCGAAATGTCCGTTTATCAAATGACCGGGTCCACAACAACAGCTGTTGGCTGGAAAATAGTTTTCCCGCCGAACCTCTCGACCGATTTCCTTCGCTCGGGTTCCTTCGCTCATGGCTGTCAAATGAGATTAAAATAAGCTCTTCCGTCAATCGACATCATCGACTTGGACTACTGCTGCTACATAGCCCCACATGACAATGGCTTCCCCCATCCATGGGATCCCATTCCCAGGACTCCCCAATCCCCAACCCCCAAACCATCGCACAATATAATGGGCCAAGCGAATTTATAGCAATTGTGCACTAAAAGGGTTTTATCCACGCACAACAGCTTGACCAATAAAGCAACTAAGCGCATTTGTGCACCACTTCACAGAACCCGGATCGTGCCTCATGTATATAGTATATAGTATCGGTTTTGGGGGCGGGGCAATCGGGCCTGAGCTCTGAGTGCCAGTTTATTGCCAAATTGAGTCCTTGGCGACAAAGCGTCGAGTGTAGGGAGCGTTGTCAACAACAGCTGCACAATTGAGATAAACTTCAATTTTCGTAAATTGTTTAGTTTATTGAAAAATCTGCGACATGTGAAGACTTTCAGCGGATGTGTATTGGTGTGTGTGTATGTGTGTTTGGGTGTATGTGTGAGTGTCCTGGGCGCTTGTGGCACATTAAGCGCTCTGAGTTTTAATTCAATTTAACTTTAGTTTCAGTTTTGCAGCTTGCGAATAGTGGAGACAGCAATTTATTGGCGCATTTTATTTTACGAATTTATTGGATCTGATGGGGGCCAAACTCAAATGAACTGGACACTTTTTGAGTCTCTGGCAACTGACAGTGGTGGGAAATTGAACATGGAAACGGGGAAAAGCTACGCTTCTGGCAAAAGGGTTAACTTTAAGTTAACAAGTTATTGGTCTGTGAATGATGGTGAAATGATTAAGTGTATATGTAGGGCTTAGTTTACTGGTAAGATTATCAATGGCTAATCATGCTGTACTTCAACTGTTAAAACCACATGTTATACCAAGTAAGTTATTTTATCTTGCGTAATTTTATTCTATCCCCTTTTTTCCTGTTTTAAATCCCCTCTTGTTATTTGAGTTTCGAAATTCGTCTGAGCATATCGAAAGTACATTTGCGTGTGAGTATCAACCTCTGCCACATTTGCACACAGAACAACGGAGCGCAGATCGAACTTTTGCTCGTAAAGCCACCAAATATACATTTCTCTTATCGAAGGACCCAGAGGTCTACCTAAGGCTCACATATTCGACTGGCGAGGAGCAGACACAATATCCAGCCGCCCCATTCCAATCCCTTCGCCATATTCTCGCATTCACGTACTAGCATTTCCCCCGTGGAAAGCGATGCCTGTGTGTGCTGAAATTATGCGCATGTCGTTGGCATTCTCATTCTCGTTCTCATTCTCATTCTGCCTCTGGTTCTCCATCTCCTCCGCCCAGCACGATTTTCAATTCAAATGTTTTTCTTTTCGGGGATTCGATTTCGGCGAAAGAAGAAGGTAAAAGATGCGGTTACACGGCGCTGGGGCTGGCGAAAAGTTTTCGCATAAAATAAGGCAAGATAAATTGTTAATGCGTCTGTGGGGAAGCGATTAGCGGCAAATGTGCCGAGTTTATGTTGAAGTTCGTTTCGAGACCCACTTTTGCGAGCAGTGCAATTTAAATATTATTTTCCAGTTGCTTAAAGCGAGCTAGAAGGCCCTTCCATTTCGACCAGAAACATTTTCCGAACCAACTCCGGGCATATATAGAACTGAAGTCTGTCTGATACAAAATGGGAAATATCCAGGAAAATCAAGCAACAAAAGGTGAAGCCTGGCTCTCGTTGCCATTGGCAATTTATTTTCCACCAGTCGAGCAACTCCAGTTCTCGGATTTTGTCCTCGGCCAAGGCAATTGCTTACAGCCAGGATGCGGAGGCACTTGAGAACGCATTCAGGTGGGCAATTGGCAAATGCAACAGCCACTGCAGCTCATGATAAATCGTTATTTATAATTTGTATTGTAAACGGAGAAATTTGTATTTCCTTCTCATGGGCGGACCAATCGGATAGGAATGCCTGAAGTAAATTCACCGACAGGAGGAAAAGGGTTTTTGGTCATGTGGGGAAGGTAAAGTAAATTGCAGAGGTTTGACAATCTTTTATTTATGAGCAGTCCCTAAGACTTGTAAGGCATATACATTTTTTTCTATAAGTACATTGAAGAAAATTGAATTGAGTAACATAGATTTTTTTTATATTCTAACTAAAGAACAAACAAATCTGAAATGGCAACATGTTTACTAAAACACAAATAAATTTTAATCTGAAGCATAATTGTTATTTGTTCACTTCACATAAAAAATGCATTTTAAAAAGTGAAAAAGAAAATTTTTGTGTGCTAACGCCAAAACCCAAACACGAAAACTATTTATCCGTTGGATGAAAATCCGCAAAATGGTTTACCTAATGTAGGAAACCCCTCATAATTCATGGATATTTACAAATTTCAGATGAAATATCTGCGCTTCCATTGCCAGAGTAATATGAATTTAGTCTGAAAAGTTTTCGTTGTTCCGCCAAACAATTTCATATAACAATTTTCATTAGCTGGTTGGACTAATGGAAATACCAACGTAATGAATATTTGGATTACGGCTTTCGCGGCTAGAGTTGAAAGCCAGGTTCATCTCTGACCCACTGTCCTGGCCAAAAAGGAGATAAATAAATGCATCTGTCAGTGGCAGGAGGACTGCACGCTAACTGTCAGCGCCGGAATGCCAGTGACAAGTTTTTGCGGAGCCGCCAGGAGCAGGACTTCGCGGCAGTCAGGAAACGGGAAGGTCTCCACAGCTGCCACTGTTGGCCACTTTTCTGCGCTTCACTGCCTTCCAAAGTGATACCACCCAACCCCACTCCTTCTGGAAAATTACCTGGCCAAAGTTGCGTAACGAATCAGGCGTAAAGACAAAGAAAAGTAGCCGCTGACACTCAACTGACAGATATTATTATTCATGTTGCCACGTTGACTGACCAGTGCATATACCAAACATCAAAAGTTTTGTAAACAAAAAATCAGTAACTCTGTGAATGTAAAAATTTCAATCATAAAAAATGGGATTTCGAA